CAGCACGCACCGGCGATTAAGGTCATATTGTACCTAAAGGAATTTATAGCAGTGTAAGATTGGGGATTAATTGTAAGTATTACGTGCAGGTGAAATACACAAAAGTTTCCACTGAGGATTGATGTTAAAAAGCAGGATTCGATAACATGTCGTTTGCGGCTCTTCGAGTAGTGACTCAGACTTGTTCATCTCTGATTTGGGTTGATTGATTAACCTGTAATCAATAAGAAAACATCGCGCAGATACGTGAAAATGTTTGTAATTTTTATAAGACACATAATATACTGTGATAATTGTCTTCTGCCAATGATCTATAAGTGAAAAACTATTGGACCTACACTCCAAGCTAGTAAAATTTGATCAAATTCACCACAACTTTGAATTTATTGTTCATAATTTATTGAAAATTAATGTAACGTTTCGATACGTCAAGTATCATCAGCAGACAAAGATTACTAAAGTACGACTACACACACTGTACAAGAGATAAAACTGATAAATTTGCTTCAGAATTGTGCTCATACGAAAAGACAATTATTTAATCTAAGCTAGTAGGTTGTTTAAGGAGAAAAAATGAAGAATGAATTAAAAAAAATATACTGCCTCGGTTAGCTATCGAACAGTGAAGTAAATTATACTGAATTATCAGGGAATATTTTCCATAATTTCTATTTGGCTTATTGTTTATTTGTGATCATCTCTGTTGAAATATCAAGAAAGTGCTCTCTCGGATCACTATCAAACATGCAAATCTAGATGTTGTTCAGTCCAATGAATCTATTATTTACAGTCAGTATTGTTTTCAGAATGAAAAAGTATTTAATTACTTCTGACGAGGGAACCATCCCAACTGATAAATCGCTTTCGGGTTGAAACTTGGCGGCCTATAGGTAGTCGACCCTGCTGACCCCAAATATCAACATGGGACGTACTGCTAGGCCTCCCGAGACTGGCTTTCTAGAAAACCAGTTTTCCAGAGACTCTAGAAAATCGTCAAACCTTTTCTTAATAAATTATATTTGTAATGCGCGAAGTTCTGATTAAAATAGGACATCCCTCAGGTCTACACGATCTTTCTTTGCAAAGTTATAGAATTTACAAGAAGGACCCGAAAGTCCTTTTGCCTTTTTCTTTCTATATCTCCAAGCTGACGATGAACATTTAGGCTTTTCTTGTAGATTCTATAAATTTGCAAAGGAAAGTCGTGTACAGCTGGGGAATGTCTCATTTTAATCAGAATTTCGCGCGCTATAAATATATCTTATTAAGAAAAGTTTTGGAGATTTTCTGGAATTTCTGTAAAACTGATTTGCTAGAAAATCAGTCTCAGGAGGCCTAGCAGCACGTTTCATGTTGATATTCGGAATCAGCGGGGTCGACTACCTATAGTCCACTAGGTTTCGGCCCGAAAGCGATTTATCAGTTGAGAACGTTCCCTCGTGAGTTATGTCTCGTATTCAGCTCATATATCGACTACATTTTGTTTAGTATTTTCATTGAACTGCATTGGTGTTTTCATTTTAGTTCAATAAAATGAACTCAACTTCGACGTCAATATCTCTACACGAGATATATGTTCGATTAAGTAACTGCATGTCACCGTTGATTATTATCATCGGAACAATAGGTAATCTCTTCAGTATTTATATATTTACTCGGCGTACACTCCGATCATCTTGCTCAATGTACTTTCTCTCTTCGTCTATCAATGACAATTTTGTTTTGTATTTTGGTGTTATGACTCGCTATTTGGCCGATGGTTACTCGTTAGATCCTACTAGATATTCTGTTTTGTTTTGTAAGATTAGAACATTCTTCGCTTACGTCATTTATCAAATAACACCAACTTTAATTCTACTAGCGACACTCGATCGATGGTGTTTAAGTTCAACGAACGTTAATCGTAGAAAATTCGGAACAATTCGTGTTTCTTGTTATTTAATACCATGCACAGTTGTTCTATTATTCCTTGAGAGTTCACATATATTAATTTTTTTTGAAATTAATCCTCGATTCCGTTATTGTATGCCTAGAGGGAGCTTTTATGCCAAATTATTTGGTACTATTACTCTCACCCGATACTTTTTGAATTTATCTCTAATATTTTTATTTGGACAATTAACATTAGCCAATGTCAGAAAACAACGTAAAAAACGACGTCTAACGCCTCAACGTCAAATTGACCGGCAACTAATTGCCATGCTACTATTTCATGTTCTTGGCTATGTTATGCTCGCTTCACCGTATACGATCATGTTACTTTTGTCAACAATACTTCGTCGAACAAATACGTTGATTTTTATCCAAAATTTATCTCGTATATCATTGAATCTTGGCTATGTAATGAATTTTCCCATTTATGTTTTAAGTGCAAGACTCTATCGACAAGAATTTTTTCATGCTTTAAACAAAATATCAAATTTTATCATCAAACGAAATATCGTGGCAATTAGAAAACAACAGTCTCACACAACAGACACCTATGAGGGCAGTATTAGTCTACGTTCAAAGAGTTTATTCTGTCTGGAAGAACAAAAAATTGAATTGAACGGACTAGTTCTCCACGCTAACACGACAGACACCGAAAATTATGTGTAGGACTCGAAATAGCGAACGAGAGATATGGCTGCTTAAATTTGTAAAGGCTTTATAGTTTGACGTGCATTTTACTCTATAACATTTTAATATCCAAAACTTCAAAAGATGTAAAAGGTTTCATTAAGGAATGTTTCATGTTAGAAAGTTTCATCCTCTTCGAAATGTGTAGTTCGTTCTAAATTGTAATTGCCTGAAAGTGTTTCATTTTTCATTTTTAATTTGTTAAATTCAGTATTACATCTAAAACCTGTGAATCAAAATGTTTCTCATTAGAGAAGAAAAATGGTTTTAGAATTTCTTTCTTAAAAATTCTGGTTTTTTTCTCTCAACCTGTACATATTGTAGTGAGTTAGTCTAGTATGATTTGCATACATTTTAAGATAGAATATTTGTCTAATACACTCTAAAAAAAGTTGTTCTTCAGGTTTTCAAAGATCAAAAAAATCAATGGGAATTTTGTTTTTCATTTGTCTCAAATAGGGAACTCAAATTCTGTTCTTCAACTCTCAAGAACTCAAAATTTGTTTTTCATTTCCCAAAGAACAAAAAAAATCAGTTTTTCAAAAACCGAAAAATAAATTTTGAGTTCTTGAGAGTTGAAGAACAGAATTTGAGTTCCCTATTTAGGACAAAGGTAAAACAAAATTCCCATTGATTTTTTTGATCTTTGAAAAACTGAAGAACAACTTTTTTTTAGAGTGTAGTTATGACAGTTACAGTTTTACAGTTTTACAGTTAACTGTAACTGTTGTA